CAAATGTCTCTCATATTGTCAAGAGGAACCAGTCTCTGGAGAAGGGTATCATGTTTGGTAAGGTGGAGGGTCAGAGGAAAAGAGGAAGACCCCCAATGAGATGGATTGGTATAGTGGCAACATCAGTCAATAGGCTCAAGAGTGGCAATAATTGTGAGGTTGGCCCACGACCAGGCAGTGTTTCGTTCTGTTGTGCATAGGGCCGCTATGAGTCGGTACCGACCAGATGACACCTAAGAACAACAACAAGTGTAGTGAAGGAAGCCTGGTAGTGCAGTGTGTTACAAGTTGGACTGCTATCTAGGTCGGTAGTTTGAATCCACTAGCCTCCCCACAGGATTTCTACTCCTATAAAGATGTGCAGCCATGGACCAGCTCCATAACACAACCTCCTGAGGGTCGTTAGACATGAAACAATTCAAAGGCACTTAACATCAACAATAGGCATGGGGAGGAGACCTGGTGTGGTGCTGTAGGATCAGCACTGGACTGTTAACCGCAAGGTCAGCAGTTCAAACCCACCAGCTGCTCCTTGGAAACCTTATACAGGATCACTCTGAGTCCGAATCCACTCAGTGACACTTAACAACAACAACCTTGGTGACACTTCACCAGGGTCACATGGCTACCTGGGCCTCTTGGTCTACTTCTGTATAACTCATAATTCTAGAATAACTGAACCAGCATTGCTCTTCAGGAAGAACCAGACCTTCCTTCGCATTTTTCAGATATGGAAAGTGAGGCCCAGCAAGGCTAGAGGCATGGTGGGCACACCAAGAGTAAGCAACAGAACCCAGTGGGGTCCTAGGTTTCTGGCCCCTCAGCCCCCACATCTAGCCTCAAACTACAGCATGTCACTACTCTTCAGGTGGATTGGAAAGAAGAGGAAAAAGGGGTGCAGCTCAGACCCACAGCCTCCTCCTTGAGGAAAATTGAGACCTAAGGCAGAGGTTGACCTGGGTACCTAGCCTTTCCCAGTCACCTGAGAGCAGACATATCAAATGTAACAGGTCATCTTCCCAGGACTCAATGTGGCCTTCTAGCTCTTGTCTCTTTCATCAGTTCCAGAAGTTTTGTGTGTTTTATTGCAGGGGGTGTTGTTCTTTTGTTTTCAGAATGCTAAGTTCAAACCAACTGGGCAAGTTTCGTCTCCTTGCTGCTAAAAGGCTGGATGGTTCATTTCGCCACTCTTGCCCTTGAAGAACACGCCTTGATCTCTTCTTCTGTCAGAATGACAAGTTAAAGTGCCATTTGCAAGCATATTTCTCAGATAAATATTTGACCCAAAAAATAGGTTTGTGGTTGGTCTCTGCAGCCAGTGTCCCCAGGAACTGCCTTCTGAGGCTGAAGAGTACATAGTATAACACCCTTCCCCATCACCGCTTCCTGGACACATTCTGGATTTTCCTAGCAGAACTGGAACGGAGGTCACTGATGCATGTCATCATTTTATAAATGGACTCCAGAGATGAAGGCATTTCTCCCCAAACCACACAGGAAATGGAGAGTGAAGCCAAACCCAACTTAGTGCCTTCTCCACAACACACATAGCTGTGCTCTAGACAAACCCCAGCCACCTGAAACATTGCTTCGGCAGAGTGTGCAGGTGCAGCCTACCTTGGTCTCATCGTAGATGGGAACCTTTGTCATCAACTGTACGCTCATGCAGCAAGACCTTATCTTCCTTAGTGATCAGTTCATTGACTATCTTTTGTCTTGATTCTTGCACTTGGGTGCTGTTCCTGGAATATAAAAGTGAAGGTGTGAGAAGACAATGCCATCCTTTGAGTATAGTTCCTGAGAATGACCATAATCATGAAAACTCAAGTCTTTTCTTCTCTGAGTGTAGGTTCCTGGAGATTACCCAAGGTAATGTGGGTCGCAGGAGCCCACAGGCAAAATCAAACCTCAGGTTCCCACAACCCACATCCATGTGTTTCCAAGAGATGTGTGTATGAGCATGGCACACGAAACCAGGATCCATGTTCTGACAGACTCCAAAGTAGTTCACAGGCAAGGTTCCCAGGCCTGGGAAGTCCCCAAAATCTGCCCAACCCTAGACAAGGCAAAGCACATAAGGCTCGGACCCCTTTCCCTGAGCCGTGAGGGAGCATGCTGGAGTGTGGGCCTCCACATGTGCCGTGTGTGAGTAAATGCTTCTAATTCCTTCTAGACAAAAGCTTTGATTGATAAGCTCCAAAAGCTTGTGTCGTCAGAGGGCAGATTTAAGAATCTGAGAGAAGCTCTGAAAAAGTAAGTGTGTGTCATTTTGTCACTGTCGTTTTTAAGTATAGAACCACATTGCAGGGGCGTTCGGATGTCACACCTGGCTGTTTGTCCATCTTTCTAGCCACATGGGTAGGTCAGCTTTGTCCCTCGTTGCCTGCCAAGGATTTGGGTGACATTTCCTGAAAGAGGCACACACTGAAAGAACTCTGGAATCCCAGCAAGTATAGTGACCACAGCCACAGTGATATCAGCTCCCTTGATTCTAAAATGCACATTTTTTTTTCTTTACATCATAATACTCCTAACAAAAAAATCAACTTGTTCGTTGGCTATGATTATGTTTCCTTGTTTACATGCGAAGTAGCCATCAAATCAAGAAAGCAAGCATTTTCTAGACAGTGGCATCTTGGAATCAAAGAAACGATTTGACCAATCATGGCATCTGGTAGTTTTCAAAAAGTTATCCCAGCCATAAATGCATTGAAGCCTATCCATATCCCCTATAAGGCAGGGTTTCTCACCCTGAAATGATGGTCATTCTAACCAGGATAACTGTCCTGCAGTAACCCTGAGCAGCATCCCAGGCCGCAACTCATAAGATGCCAGTGGGACAATCAAAAATGTCTCCAAATATCTCAAAGATCACCTGGGGAGAGTCAGAGCAAAATACCTCCTGTTGAGAACCGCTGCTGTGAGGCAGCTTTTCACACCCCGTTTTTCCAGACAAGGAAACTGAAAAGCTAGTGGCTGAGCCAAAAACATAGGACCAGAGTGAGCGAGCCAGGACTCAATGCAGGCTGGCCTGTTGTCCGGTGCCCCCTTTACCTAGGCTGCCTCCCATAAAGCCCTAGGGGAGCTGTCCCAGGGAAAGCAGCTTGTATGTACCCACAGGGGCCCCCCATGCATGTGAAATGTGAAATTTGCTTTTATCACTCCCATTCGATGGTCTCTCCTCTTTCATGGTTTCCTGACCCCTCTCCCTGCCCGACTAGCTACTTCCTGGTTCTTGGAGAGACCCCTGGGTGGTCCTAGGGTCCTAGTTCCCTAGAGAGCCCACTTTTCTTTCATCTGCAAGGAATCACGTGATCACAGCCAGAGGAGTCCCCCAGAGTTCACCCGCTCCCCAAACCTGTGGACTGGGATCCATCAAACCCTCCAGCCCTGGCAGCAGCTATGGCAGCCAACTCTGCCAGCCTGTCACTGCGGCGTGTCCTTGTTTTCTTCTTGCTGTTCTTGGTGTGTCCTTTGCCAGCTCCGTGTGCCATTGCCTTGACCATCTCCACTTTGTGTCCTCAGACAGATGTTCCACCCATCTGTGCTGTCCAGCCGTCTCTCTTCCGCCTGGGCTCCCTGGAGCCCGCCCCTGTGGACTATGCTTGTGGGGAGCTGCCCCATCGTGCCTTCACCAATTTGTCCGTCCGTCCTCCCTCCGGAGGCGTTACTCCATCCGCCCCTTTCACATGGCTTCCTCGTCCACAGCCTCCACTGCCGCCCCATTCTGTCTCAGAATCCCCATCCTCACTGTTTTCCCTCTTTCAGGTTATCTTTAGGCTTGTGTAAGTGCCTCTCCCAGATGCCTCTGCTCCTGTAACACAGAGCAAATGTGACCTCAGGGCTCTCTGGGACCAGAGACCTTTATGCAAACCAGGTTCTTGCCTATGAAGAGTTAGGCCAAACCATGCCAAGGAAGATGGGAATGCGCAAACTTGGGGCAAAGGTTTGCATCTTTCTCCTAAGACTCTATGATTCTCATTTAGAGCAAAGCCGCTATGAACACTAGAGGTCTGCTTAGCCAGGCAGGGGAGAGTGGGCAGAGAGACGAAGGAGCAATCCGGTGAGCCTGGTTGATGACCCATCCAGACAAGGAGTCCAGCGGTGGGCCTCACCCTGCAGGCTCTCAGCTCCAGTCATATGTCTTGGGCATCTTTGTCAGCCTGTCATTAAAATATTCAATCTTATGTATGGAGCACTGCTCAAGATTGGCCTTATTGCCTTTATCTGCCAAGACTTCACTCCCATAGTCACCCTCTTTGATATCCTCTGGTCCACCTACAATCCTTGTGTGTGCCCCTTCAGACTCCTATCTGGGCATCTCAAGAATGACCTCATCTTTCCGTCTCATTTCCCAAACTCACACCCTTAGGAAACTCATAAGACTTCTCTCCCCTCTCAACCTCCTAGTGACCAGAGCCTTCCCACAGTTCCACGTTGCAAAATTTGACAGAGAACTAAATTTAGCAATAAAATACTGTCATAAGCGCTTTGAGGACTGATTACTGGCCTGGTGTAATCTCAACCCTGCAAACATTGGAAAAACTGTACCTTTGGTCTCTGATTTGAATTGGGGTCCCGTTTTCATTGCAGGCTGTTGTATTAAAAGCTTTCCCCCATTGTTTCCCTAAATTAAGGATGAGAGTGACCACAGAGAAGCTGGTCAGCTAGCTGGCCATCCTGCCTTTCCTGAAAACTCAGCCCTGTGGATAAAATGACTTCAAAGGCTGAAATTCCAGAGCTCCAGGTTTCAGGGGCTCCAAGAAAGCCTGCTCTCTGTGTTCGCTTCATTTTCTGCCTATGAACACTTAACAGAGACCTGGTCTGCTGCTGCTAACACAAAGAAGCAACTGATGTTCAGGCGTATCTTGGACATGTTGTGAGTTCAGCTCTAGACCACCGTAGTAAAATGAATATCGCAATAAGGAGAGTCTCACTAGTTTTGTGGTTCCAGTACATATAAAAGTTAATGTTTGCACTACAAATCGGGTTCAAAAAAGTTCATGGAAAAATTCCATTGTCTTTCTCTTCCATTTTTCCATCAACTTTTTGAAACCTCCACAATATGTTGCATAGTCTATTAAGTGTGCAATAGCATTATGAAAAAGTTTGAAATATTGTAAGAATTGTCCAAATGTGTCACAGAGACATGAAGTGAGTGCACGTTGTTGGGAAAATGGTGCTGATAGATTTGCTCAATGCAGTTGCCACAAACCTTCAATTAGATTTTTTTAAAAAATAAATAAATGACATCTGCGTGGCGCAATAAAGCAAAGAACAATCCAACCAGCCTGTACAGGAGAGTGACCGCAGGATTGGACTCTGCTCCCCACTGCAATTTTTCCCTCTTTATTCAAATTTCAGTACCCAGTGGGTTACACATTGGGCTGCTAACTGAAAGGTCAGTAGTTCGAACCGACCAGCCAATCCATGGGAGGAAAGGAAGACGTTCTGCTCTCATAAAAATGCCTCAGAACCTCCAGGGAGCAGTTCTACCATGCCCTGTCATGTCGCTAAGAGTCAGGATTGCCTTGATGACAATGGGAAATATCCCAGCATCCAGTGCCAGAGCCTTGGACCAAGGCCCTCAGAGGTTCAGTCCACACAGTCCAGTCCCAAGGCTTCCTCTACTCCCTCCCTGAATGCCCATCATGTGGCCTCAAGGCGAGAGAAGAGGAGACCCCTACCAGAGCCAGCAGAGACTTGTAAGAGACAGGGGCCGATCCCATAACTGGGCCCATGCAAAGAAGAGAAGGAAGGTAAGCAGACTGGATGCAGATGTCACCAGCCCCGTTTCATGGGGTTGGGTACAGGCAGGATGAACATTTTGCTTCTGGTAATTGGCACCACTAGATGTCTGCAGCTCCACTTAGCATAATTGGGAGCTTCTTGGAAGATGGAAACATCTAGTTGAAAGTTGAGGAGAGGGACTCAAAACAACCACAGGAAAGACCTGGGTGCTGGGAGTCACCAGACACTGATGTAGCCAGATGCTGGGGTCTTTTGCCTACACAAAGCCCCCACTCTGTTTTCCTTTCATTCAGATTTCAGCATGGTTCAGTGCCCTCTGCCAGCCCTCTACTCCACTCCTATCTTCCACCTTACTCGGCCCCTCTGAAAGCCTCATACATGTCCCTGCATGGCTCTGGATTATGGTTGGTTGTTGTATATGTGGATTTGCTCTGTGTGTGTGTGTGACTTAATGTATGTTCTCCATGACACTCCTCTGAGACTCCTCACTAAGAAGACAGTAAATAGGGACAGACATTTGGTTCTGGGGCTTCGAGTGCCATTTGCAAATGTTAGGTTGCAAATTCATCACCTTCCCACAACTGAGTCCCAAACCCCAATCCCTTAGGAAATCCAAGTCAGCGATCAGATAAGATCCTCACTGGTTTGGATTGCAGTCTTTCAGGAAGTTTCTGGACCTTTCCAGCAGGTACAGGCAGCTTGCAGGCACTTAACCCCACCCCCACCCCATCTCCGTCAACCCAAGAAAAGAGGGTCTTTGTGCACATGGAGGTCCAGCAGACCTCATCACGTGACCAGGTAAAGAGGTGGAATGCCACCTAGCCCTGCCAGTCAGCAAACCACCTCAACCTCCAAACACCAGAGTGGCTTCTCGGGTCCTTAAATTATTTCTCCATCAGATTCACAAGTCTTGCTCTTCAGACTTGGAGGAAGACAGAGAGGAAATAAAACCCTGGGTGTGTTGTAATCAGGCTAGAAGGACCCTGGAAGGGCTGGCAATGTGCGTGAGCCACACTTTTTAATCACAACTCATCACAAGAATCGATCTGGCATTGTGACTCAGTAGACAAATGTGTAACAGGAACAAAATTTCACAAAATAGCATATATCTTTATTCTGTGCAGTGAGTTCCATAGTTTCTGCTCTATGCCTTTTTTTTTTTTCCTTTGATTAAAAAACTCATCAAGAACCACTAAGCTCATTTCAATGCCCATGAAAGGGTTACGTTCTACAATTTGGGAAACATTTCTCCACCGGCTGCTTCCCGAACATCAGGTGTCTGCCTCCTTCATGACTGTGCCATGCCCATATGCTAATTGTACCTGTGCTTACTTATTCGTGTCGCCTTTACATTAACTCACCCCCCCAAAAAAAGTTAATTTAAATAAAAAGAAAAACTTTTTATTGTGACAGGAAAAACCAACAGACTTGTCATAAATACAAGGTTACCATTAAAAAAAAAAAAATGAGATGAGAGCAAAACAATTTTAAGGTGCTGATGTTGCCAGCTTTCTGGTCCTGACCCCCATTGCTATTAGTTTATAAAGAAAATAAAAGGAGGGAGGAGACTGGTGAATGTTAGACAGTCTCAAGGCCACAGAGCCATCCTGTTACCAAGCTGCGGTTCTCTCCTTAAGCATCAGGGAAAGACTGAAAATCGAATCCCTTTCTCACCCTATGAACCAAGGTCATTTCATTAATTCTCAGGCCCTCTAATTGTCTCAGTGCTTTGAGGCTGAGGACCATGAGGGAAAGGATGGACCCAGATCACACAGACAGGGAATGAAGGAGAGGCTGGGTTTTTGTTCTTGCTCTCCCACCGCTCCCTGCCTCTGGATTGGTTCGGAGCAGACAAAGGTGGGGCTGTGCTGGAAATCACCTTCGTCTTTGTGCTGAGCTGAGAGGCAGCTGTGGGGCACTGGGCAAGGAGCCTCCCTGGAGGAGCTAAATGAAACCCTGCCACAATTGTAGTGGTCACTGGGCTCCACCCCAGAATAGCCCACTTACCCAGCATCCACCCAGGGCATCAGGACTGTCAACCTCAGGACAAGTCAGAGAGGCATGCTACAGTGTAGATGATGGCGAGGGGATGGAGAGGGTGTTTGGTGGTGACAGGAATGGGGTGGGGCAGGAAAGCCCTCTTGGGGAGATCCTGGGGCGGGGTTTCTATGGAGCATTTCAGTCATGAGACAGAAGGAAAGGTGGGCTGGGAGGGGGCTGGTGACAAGTTTCCTAGGCAGTGCCGAGGGACAGGGTCTGAGATGAAGGGCAAAGAGATCAAACAGTGCCTTCTTGGCTGGGGAGGGAAGGACCCTGACCGAGAAGACCCAGCTTGCGTGGGAGACCAATCAGCACCAAGTCACTCCCACCACCATGAGGACTGACCCTCAGACCCAGTTAACAAACCCAGGCCGAAAAGCATTATTCTATTAATTATTTTCAATGACTAGAAATTTCTTTGCCTCTAGAAAAGTAAAATAATGCATGTGAGGTATTCTCTTCTTATGCTTTCTAAGTGAAAAACTGTTGCTAATGCCATTTGCTTTGAAGTTGTGACCCTCCCTGTGTCCCTTACCTGGGGATGTACCTTACCGACCTGGCCTTCATCGAAGAAGGGACACCCAACTACACAGAGGACGGCCTGGTCAACTTCTCCAAGATGAGAATGGTGCGTTCCCACAGGGGGGTGGGTGGGGCTAACCAATCCCAAACGCCAGCCCTGGGTCCACCCAAGCTCTGCCCACCAGGCTGCACTTGAGAGCCTGAATCCGACTTCTCCATAAGAACCCTCCTTCTCATTAAAGTGCACAGTTAGCATCTGGCAAGCCCTGAACTTTCTTGTTTCCTGACAGGTGAGCAATCTTACTGTTCTCCACTACAGGCGTTTCTATGGGAAATAGTGCCTGTCGCCGAATGGTCTCCCCCAGGTGGTGATAGAAATTGGGATGGCCAATAGAAACTGCTCATTGGTGCCCACAGCACGTGCCATACATGCCATGCCCTTACAGATGACAGGCTTGCAGAGGTCAAACGACCAGCCCAAAGTCACTCACCAAGTAAAGGACAGAGCCAAGGGAGTTTGTCTATCTCCAAAGCCTGCTCTTTTTGCCCCTGACCTTCAGGTTTGGGCTTGGGCTGCAGTCAGGCAGCATCAGGGACCACAAGGGACCATGCCTCTCTCAACCTCATCAGATATTGTTTATATTTTAAAAGAAAAAAAAAAAAAAGTTGCATTATGTCAACTCCAACTCATGGTAACCCCATGTGTGTCAGAGTAGAACTGTGCTCCTTAGGTTGTGTTTTGATTTTAAAGATTTTTTGTTGTTGTTTTTATTTGGATGTTGTTGTTGAGCATATACACCAGTTCCATCAAAACACAGCAATCCAGCAGCTTGTGCCTGTACGTCAGTGGCATTGCTGACATTCTTCTCAGCCATCTTTTCTTAGTCATTCCTCCCTCCTTAACAAACTCACTGCCCACCCCCCAGTTTCCTACTTAATCTTTTGAGTTGCTGATGACAATCTGACCCTATAATGATAGATCTCTACAAGAGGATAATGTTCAAAGCAGACATTTTTTACTAGTTGAGCTAAACTATTGTTTTGTTTTAGGAAGACTTCAGGGGATATTTTTGGGTCCTAGAACTTTCAGTGGAGTCTTGGTGTGGCACTGTAAGGATAGGCACTGGACTGCTAACCTCAAGCCTGGCAGTTCAAACCCACCAACCACTACTTGGAAGCCCTATGTAAGGGCACTATGAGTCGGAACTGACTCCATGGCACTTAACAACACAACAAGGGTTTTCAGTGGCTGATTTTTTCCAAGGTGCCTCTGAATGCACTCAAACTTCCAACCTTTCCATTGCAAATCACACAAACTATTGCACCACCCAGGGGATCCATTGTTCATATAAGCACTTGCTTTATGTAGTCAGAGAAACATCACTAGCTCTTAGGCAGCACCTCCTAAACAGTAGTTTTCAAATTTTCCCTGGGATTTGGGACAAAGAGGGAGCCCTGGTGATGTTGTAGGATAAGCACTGGACAGCTAATCGCAAGGTCGGTAGTTCAAATCCACCAGCTGTCCCTCGGGAGAAAAATGAGGCTTGCTGCTCCCATAAAGCTTGGAAACCCTATGCAGGGTCGCTGTGAATCAGAATCGACTTGATGGCAGTGAGTTTGGTGGGTTGGTTGGAGCAAGGAGACCCCTCTGAGCAGAAAATCTTGATTTTTATCTGCTTTGTAGATTGGGCTTCCACCTAAGATTTTTGTTTGATGAAATGATTTTTCTGTCAGACATAAGGTAAAAAGGCACTGTCCTGCTGAGAGGACAGACACCCCTGAGCATCGTCTTGCACACAGTAGACACTTGACAAGGAGCAGGTACCTTTAACTTCTGCTGAAGCCATCAAGTTCTGGTTTAGCTACTGGGTAAGGGAGTTTGAGGGTTTTGTCTTTTTTTGTTTTGTTCCACGCCATCACAGAGCAGTTTGTGACTCTTGCCTATAGGGTCTTGGCAAGTATCACAGATTGCTGATTTGAAGGAAACCATGACGCTTTAGTGGAATCTTCTAGGAGGCAACGAGATGTGAATTTAGAAGCTGAAGTGGGGCTTCACTGCTGAAACCCCTTCTGTAATTTTGTGAAGTCTTGAGATGGAGGAGTAGCACAACCAGAGCCAATTCTTCTAAAATTCTCCTTCCTTCCTACAGATATCCCATATTATACGAGAGATTCGCCAGTTTCAACAAACTGCCTACAAAATAGAACACCAAGCAAAGGTAAGCAGGTGCATTTTCATACTCATGCTTGCTTTATCTCCTGCTCTTTCTGGATGCCTGCCTTGTGTACCCTCCACCCCCAACCACGGTCCCTTCCTGAGTCCTCTTGGGTTCAGCTCAGATCCTCTCACTTTGAGGAAGCCCTCCTTATTCCCAAGGAGCTCTGGTGGTGCCGCGGGCTAAATGTTGAACTACTAACCACAAGGACAGCAGTTCGAACCCACCAGTCACTCCTCAGGAGAAAGATGAGACTGTCTGCTCCCGGAAAGACTTAAACTATTTCAGAAACTCTAAGGAACCTATCGGGTGGTCGCTATGTGTCAGAATCTACTCAGTGGCAGTAGGTAGTGGGTTTCCTGTTCCCTGCGGAGAGGCAAGCTCTCTCTCCATATTGCATCATAGGATGTCCAATCTTCCCTAAGGGAAAGGACAGCTCCTAGGACGCAAAGGTTATACCATCTCTTTTGAAAGGCAATATGATCACAAGTTACAAAAGTTACATATAAGAAAGATGACACAGTGAAAAGCTCTGAGCCACATGTCTGGCAACAATGTCACCACAAGCAAACTTACTTTACTCTGATGCAGTCTTTTTACCTTTAACAACTTATCACGGAGATCATTTCCTATTGAGATGCAAGAAGCTTCCTCATTCTCTCTTACAGCTACAGAGAAATCCATTTATCTAGCAGTTAGTAAAGCACTGGACTTCTAACCATGAGGTCGGCAGTTCAAACCCACCATCTGCTCCTCAGGAGCAAGATGGGGCTGTCTGCTCCTATAAAAAATTGACTGTCTCAGAAACCCTGAAGAACAGGTCCGATAGGGTTTCTATGAATTAGAATCAACTTATGGGTTTGGCTCTGGTTTGCATTCTTTATTGAAGTGGAGTCACTGGGTGGTGCAGGTTGGAGGTTTGCATCTATCCAGAGGGGCTACCGAAGAAAGGTATGTGGTCCACCCCTGAAAAATCAGCCATCAATTGCGACTCTCACAATTGTAAAGGTGAAAGTTTTGTAACAAAAGCAGGGGAGTGGAGGAGAACAAACAAGATGGCGGATCGGGTGGACGTGTAGCAGGAGCTCGCCAACAACAACACAGAATACCCAACCAAGCAGGCTCAGGGGCTGGTCCCAGAACTCTGAACCACATATAAGGAATACTTAGAAGGTTGGAAGGCTCACAGCTGGGGGAA